CACACACGCACACACATGCACATGCACACACGCACACACACACGCACATGCACATACGGACACACACACGCACACACACACACGCACGCATGCACACGCATGCACACGCGCGCACACACACACACACACACACACACGCACACACACAGACACAGACACACACACACACACATGCAGACACACAAACTCATTTAATTTTATTTCTTTTGACCAGAGGATAAAGTTGCAGCAGAGGTGGAGTCCTGGACAACGGGCGAGGAGCTTGCTAACTGGATTTTAAAATTGCGGTAATGTATGCAAAAATCTCAACTGACGGCACTAGATAGAGACATAGCCAGTGCAGACAGACACACACAGTGACTGCAAACATAGAAAGCAAGTACAAACAGAGTAGGTGATGGCCTAGCGGTATTAACTCTAGACAATTAATCCAGAGACCCGAGTAATATTCTGGAGAAAACAAAAACCGAAAGAAGTGCGGATGCTGTAAATCAGGAACGAAACCAAAATTGCTGGAAAAGCTTAGCAGGTCTGGCAGTATCTGTGAAGGAAAAAACAGAGTTAATGTTTTGGGTCCGGTGACCCTTCCTCAGACTCTGTTCCAGACCCAAAATGTTAACTCTGTTTTTCCTTCACAGAAGCTGCCAGAGCTTTTCCAGCAACTTCTGTTTTTGTTGTAACATTCTAGAGATCTGAGTCTGAATCCTGCTCTGACAGATGGTGGAATTTGAATTCAATAAAAACCTGGAATTAAGAATCTACTGATGACCGTGAAACCATTGTCTATCATCAGGAAAACCCCATCTGGTTCACCAATGTCCTTAGGGAAGGAAATATGCCGTCCTCCCCTGGTCTGTTCTGCATATAACTCCAGACCCACAGCAATGTGGTTGACTCTTAACTACCCTCTGGGCAATTAGGGATGGGTAATAAATGCTGGTCTAGTCAGTGACATCCACAGCCCTTGAATGATTTTATTTTTAAAAACAGGAAGTACAAACAAATGCACAGTGAGTACAAACAAACACATAGCAAGTACAAACAAACGCACAGTGAGTACAAACAAACAGACAGCAAGTACAAACAAATGCACAGCGAGTACTGTCAGACACACAGCGAGTACTATCAGACACACAGCAAGTACAAACAGACACACAGTGAGTACAAATAGACACACAGCAGTGCAGACTGACAATCAGTGAAAATAAGCACCATCCAGTACCAACAGACATGTAGACTCTACAGACGAATTGAAGCTGGTAGAGACAGGTACGTAGCTGGTACCGACAGTCATACATCCAAAGCAGGCAGACCACAGCCACAGCAGACCTACAGCTATTATAAACAGGTATACATTGTATAGGCAGACACCAGCTATTAAATAGAGACACAGTACTAGTGAAGTCAGACAGACAGCCTAGACAGATATACATGCAAACAGTACAAGTATACACACAGTCACAACAACCAAGAACATAACCAATATAAACAGATGCAACTCCTGCAAACAGCCATGCAGACTGTGTAACCCAGCAAATACTCATTAGGTGGACAATTACATAGCTTGTACAGGCAGCCACTCAGCTTGTACAGACAGACACACATCCATTAGTGACAGACATACAGTCAGTGCAGACAGATCAAATCTAGTACAGAAAGGCATACAGCTACCAACAGACTCACAGCAAGTACGAACAGGCAGATATTGAGTACAAACAGACAAACATACAGACACAAAACAAAGACAGACAGACACACAGCCAGTGTACACAGGCACATAACGAGTACAGGCAGATACACAGCCAGTAGAACATAGAACATAGAACATTACAGCGCAGTACAGGCCCTTTGGCCCTCGATGTTGCGCCGACCTGTGAAACCAATCTGAAGCCCATCTAACCTAAACTATTCCATTATCATCCATATGTTTATCCAATGACCATTTAAATGCCCTTAAAGTGGGCGAGTCTACTATTTTTGCAGGCAGGGCATTCCACGCCCTTACTACTCTCTGAGTAAAGAACCTACCTCTGACATCTGTCCTATATCTATCACCCCTCAATTTAAAGCTATGTCCCCTCGTGCTAGCCATCACCATCCGAGGAAAAAGGCTCCCACTGTCCACCTTATCTAATCCTCTGATCATCTTGTATGTCTCTATCAAGTCACCTCTTAACCTTCTTCTCTCTAACGAAAACAGCCTCAAAACCCTCAGCCTTTCCTCATAAGACCTTCCCTCCATACCAGGCAACATCCTGGTAAATCTCCTCTGCACCCTTTCCAATGCTTCCACATCCTTCCTATAATGCGGTGACCAGAACTGTACGCAATACTCCAAGTGCGGCCGCACCAGAGTTTTGTACAGCTGCAACATGACCTCATGGCTCCGAAACTCAATCCCTCTACCAATAAAACCTAACATACTGTACGCCTTCTTAACAACGCTATCAACCTGGGTGGCAACTTTCAGTGATCTATGCACATGGACACCGAGATCTTTCTGCTCATCCACACTACCAAGAATCTTACCATTAGCCCAGTACTCTGTATTCTTGTTACTCCTTCCAAAGTGAATCACCTCACACTTTTCCGCATTAAACTCCATTTGCCACCTCTCAGCCCAGCTCTGCAGCTTTTCTATGTCCCTCTGTAACCTGCAACATCCTTCCGCGCTATCCACAACTCCACCGACTTTGGTGTCATCCGCAAATTTACTAACCCATCCTTCTACGCCCTCATCCAGGTCATTTATAAAAATGACAAACAGCAGTGGCCCCAAAACAGATCCTTGAGGTACACCACTAGTAACTGAACTCCAGGATGAACATTTCCCATCAACCACCACCCTCTGTCTTCTTACAGCTAGCCAATTTCTGATCCAAACCGCTAAATCACCCTCAATCCCATGCCTCCGTATTTTCTGCAATAGCCTACCATGGGGAACCTTATCAAACGCTATACTGAAATCCAAATACACCACATCAACCGCTTTACCCTCATCCACCTGTTTGGTCACCTTCTCGAAGAACTCAATAAGGTTTGTGAGGCACGACCTACCTTTCACAAAACCGTGTTGACTATCCCTAATCAAATTATTCCTTTCTAGATGATTATAAATCCTATCTCTTATAATCCTTTCCAACAATTTACCCACAACCGAAGTAAGGCTCACTGGTCTATAATTACCAGGGTTGTCTCTACTCCCCTTCTTGAACAAGGGGACAACATTTGCTAGTCTGCAGTCTTTTGGCACTATTCCTGAAGACAATGACGACATAAAGATCAAAGCCAAAGGCTCTGCAATCTCCTCTCTAGCTTCCCAGAGAATCCTAGGATAAATCCCATCTGGCCCAGGGGACTTATCTATTTTCACACCTTCCAGAATTGCTAACACCTCCTCCTTATGAACCTCAATCCCGTCTAGTCTAATAGACTGTATCTCAGTATTCTCCTCGACTACATTGTCTTTTTCCTGCGTGAATACTGACGAAAAATATTCATTTAGCACCTCTCCTATCTCTTCGGACTCCACGCACAACTTCCCACTACTGTCCTTGACCGGCCCCAATCTTACTCTAGTCATTCTTTTATTCCTGACATACCTATAGAAAGCTTTAGGGTTTTCCTTGATCCTACCTGCTAAAGACTTCTCATGTCCCCTCCTGGCTCTTCTTAGCTCTCTCTTTAGGTCCTTCCTGGCTAACCTGTAACTCTCAAGCGCCCTCACTGAGCCTTCACGCCTCATCTCTACGTAAGCCTCCTTCTTCCTCTTGACAAGAAATTCAACTTCTTTAGTAAACCACGGTTCCCTCGCTCGACCACTTCCTCCCTGCCTGACAGGTACATACTTCTCAAGGACACGCAGTAGCTGTTCCTTGAACAAGCTCCACATTTCAATTGTGCCCAGCCCCTGCAGTTTCCTTCTCCATCCTATGCATCCTAAATCTTGCCTCATCGCCTCATAGTTACCTTTCCCCCAGCTTTAACTCTTGCCCTGCTTTACATACCGATCCCTTTCCATCACTAAAGTAAACGTAACCGAATTGTGGTCACTATCACCAAAGTGCTCTCCTACCTCCAAATCTAACACCTGGCCTGGTTCATTACCCAGTACCAAATCCAATGTGGCCTCGCCTCTTGTTGGCCTATCTACATACTGTGTCAGGAGACAGTCTAGGGGTTCCCATGACCAGAAACTGGACTATTAATACTGTGACTAAAAGATCAGGTTGGAGCCTAATAATCCAGCGGTGCGTTATTCACTTTCTGACTCCCCAAATCCTGTCCATCAGCTACAAGGCATAAGTCAGGAGTGTGATGGAATACTCACAATGTCCCTGGATGATTGAGCTTCAACAACACTCAAGAACAATGATGCCAGCCAGGACAAAGCAGCCGCTTGATTGGCACCACCTCCACAAACACCCACTCCCTCTACCACCGACGCTGAGCAGCAGCAGTGTGTATTATCTACAAGATGCACTGCAGAAATTCACCGAAACTCCGTCGGCAGCATCTCCCAAACCCATGACCACTACCATCTAGAAGGACAAGGGCAGCTGATACATGGTACATGCTCATGCAAACTCTGATTTGATCATTTCTGTTGTAGAATGCAGGTCATGATGAAGGGAGTCTCCAGTGCCTTATAACAGTCGATAGTAATGTGTAAAAGGTTACTGAGGAAGCTGACACTTGCTGTCACATTGCCAGGGATGATGGAACCTTTTACAGTGTCCAATAAATAAATGAAGAACTCTGTCTATCAGCACATCAGCAAATCACGATTGGTCATAATTTTCCAAACAGTAAGTCGCCCCAGAGGAGATACACTATAGATTATCCCAGAATGATTGTGTTTCGAAGATACAGGAAGAGATGACTGAGTGCTGTGGAAGACGAGCATAGCTCAGAGCTGTGCAAATCGTGGAAATGGCAGAGAGTATTAGAAGCAAAGAAAAAGGGGTCACAAAGCGCGTTCCACCATTCAATCAGAGCAGGCTGATCTATTCACTCGGCTTGGTTCTGTAATCTTTAATAGGCAGCAGGGTATCCCAGTAAACATCTATTTGTCTCAGTCTTAAAATTGTCACAACCCTAACATCAACAGATCTCTGCGGGACGTAGAGCCAGATTTCCACTCGCTCTCTGTCAGAAGAAGTCTCTTCTCTCCCTAGCTTAAATTTTATGCTGATATATTCTCAATTCCACACCAGAGGAAATGGTTTCTATCTCCCTAATTAACCCTTTTAGTCATCCTAAACAGCTCAATACTTCTATCTACTTCTTTTAAATCTGTACCGCTCTCAGTCCAGAGTTAATATTTTCCAAGTAATATGCGGATGGAGCTCCTGATGTAATCTAGCCAGACCCTTATCTAAAGCAGCATCCTCTTATATTCCAAATCCTGAACGATACAGTCCGATATTCCAGTTATCTTTGAAATTACTTTTATATTTATCCAGAATGCAGATCTGCAATCACAGATATTATGCTTTAGGAGGCACAGAAACACTTTGCATGGGACTAACAAGTTAGCTAATATCCATGTTAGAGTTCATGGCCTGTGCAAGGCATGGAATTTAGGGAGCAAATGTTCCTTTTCTGTCCTCTCATGCAGTCTGAGGCCAGTGTGCATGCGTTCTTCTGTCAAGCTATACTTGAGCTCTTAACCATCACCTGTCATTGATGTTCACAGGAATCAGGAAAATGAGCAGAGAGGCTGGACAGTGTCCTTGCACAATGGGGAGAAATGGAGAGACATGCCCGGCTGTGATTTTGTCATGGATCTGATTGCTGAAGTTGAACAGCTTGGCTTTTTCCCAGCACATTCATCTACCTCCGTCATCCACCCAGGAGTGAATGGGTATTCTACTGGGTCTCATCCCGGTTCTGACAACTGCTATCTGTAAGTAATTCCAACTGGGAGATAGAATACTTCTTTATTTCTAGTGGCCATTGGAACCAGGGTCCTCTCGCCCCGCAATGGTAGTGGCCCTACCCTTGGACTGGGAGGTTTGGCTTCAAGTCCCACTTGCTCCAGAAGTGAGTAATAATATCTCTGAACAGGTTGATTAGAAAAGTAGGTAAATATTAAAAAAAGAAAGTATTTGATGGGCACAGGTAAACATGGTACTGATGTATGTCCATGTATGGGAGAAAAGTTCTCCTTTGTCTGTTGTGAAATTTCACAGTGAACACATTTACAATGTCACTACTGTTAATCAACTTTAATTTGTCTAATTATTAAGAAATCTCACAATCAAATACTGAAACAGTTATTGAAACTTTATTGCATGTAACAACCAAAATAAGACCCCTCAAATAAGCAAGTTAAACCTCACAAGCCAACTTAGCTGCTCCCTGACTAATGGTGGAATTTAGCTATGATTATAGCCAATAGTGTCCGTCTCTGATGTCTAGGGTTTGATCCTTGTGCAGTGTTATTTTTTGAAGTACTGTCCGAGGAATTCTGGAGTTGAATTCTTGTACAATTTTTTCTCTTTTCAAGTTTGTGACGTGACATTATTGATGTTTTTTTCGATTCTTTCATCAACAATATTACAAGTTTACAGCTTGCCTTCTTACCAGAAGTTGCTTCTTTGTTCCTTGTAACATTTGTCATTGACTGTCTATTTGATGACACAGTTTTCCTGTGATTAATTCCTTCTAAATTCTTCTGCAGGGCAATCATTTATCCTTGTGGCACAAAACAGCCAGTTATCAAGCAGATGTCAAAACAGTTTTGTTTATTTAGGCTCAACTCCTTCTTGTCCCAGACATGGCCAATCGCTTTCAATTCCTGTAAAAGTTTGTCTTTGTCCCTTACTAATTTATTCCATAAAGAGTTATTGCTGTTTCTTTCAATCTGTGAACAGTTATTAAAGTTCTGAATTTTATACTATCACACTAACCATGTCACATAAAGGATGTTCACCTTGACCACAGGCTGAGCAATGGTTTGTTATTGAAGGGTACTCCTGATTACACACAGTGTTAATGCTCCACCAGCTGGCTTAATCCATTCCATGTTGTCAGACAGACTGTTGCTCTGGCTGAAAGAGGATAGAATCTTGCCTAAAGTTATCTGACTCCAGAACCACAGTGATGTGGTTGACTGTCAACTGCCCCTCTGAGTAATAACTGATGAGCAATAAATGCTGGCCTAGCCAGAGATGTCCATGTCCCATGAATGGACAAATAATTGTCAGTCACTGTTCCGCTCATTAGTTATGAAGGAGATTGATAGATTTCTAAGCTACTGATGACCAAGGGATATAGAGATTTATGGGAAAATGACATTAAAGTAGATGATCAGTCCTGATCTAGAATGGCACAGCAGAATTGAGGAGCTGAACGGCCAACTCCTCCTAGTATGTTGCCAGGTCTTCTGTCACCTGCAAAATTGTATTCTGTACCAAATTAATTTTTGCTTTATATAATTATATAAAATATGACATTGTATAAATGCATTTGATCCTCCTTACTCAATCAGTGAGAATCTCTCTGGATAATGGGAAGTTGGCTTGCTCCATTCAGTGCCTGAGTAATTCTGGTTTTGCCATTCACAATACTTGATCAGCTTTGTACAATGATATTAGATTATGATTAAATGTGGTGATTTAGTTATTACCTTACAAAAATTACAAGCCTGTGACAATGAGTAGGTTTTCTGCTTTTAGTTCTGGGTGCTCCTCTTTTTAACTTTGTGCCAATATGGTTTTGCATTTCTTTCCTCCTCTCCATTGCACCCATTCAGCCCCCTGCTTTACTCCCAGTGTGAGGCCCACTCTAAACTTCTCCACAATTCAACTTGACCATATAACTTATCAAGCACACTGCTTGATTTCTTCAGTCTTTGCCTTCTCATGCCATATATTAATTAACCACAAATCTCTACACTCCATTCTAGGTCATGTATATTTAATAAGTAAAGCAATGGCCCTCAGAGCTAGTCCCACATACTATATTTCTCACTGGTGTGAAAAAGATCCATTCATCAGAACAAAAAATGAAAGATTTTGGGGTTCCCTTTAGATAACCCCCAAACTTTTTTCATGTTCTGTCCTTGAACTTTTGTCTTCTATTTCACTTTTCCTCTGTACTCATTGTATTCTCCCTGATTTTCTATCATATGCTATTTCTGACACATGTCCAACACCTTATCGTTCTGTTTGTTATCATCTCAATTTTATTTGTCATTCGGGGAGCTTGAAATTGGAATGTTCTAGCTTTCGTCTTTGCAGTGATTGGAACAAAGCGGATCTTGTTGACTATGAGATCTTTGATTGGGGTTGGTAACCTGGGCCAATCAGGAAGCCCTGGCTAACCAACATAAGCAGGGGATTGAGAAAATCCCCAGTTCAGGCGATCTGACTCCAAGATAGCTGGCTATAGCTGGTGTACTGTGCACAAGTAAATAAAGGGTGACTGGGTGAAGGGATACTGACCTCTGTGCAGTTATTCCAGTCTTACAGTAATACACTTGGTTTTCACCCAAACAATCTCTGGCTTGAAGGCTTGCCATTGCTTATTGTCATTCCTCCAGTCTTTAATGAAATGCAGATTCCCCCAGTGAAACACTGGGAAGACTAAAACCATCAACACTACCACTCTCCCTGCCACTGTTCCCTATCACAGTGCCCTATTCAACAGGAACTCAATTTCCAATTCCATATCTTTTTTCACAATAACTGCTAACTTTCACCTCCTCAGCATTGTCCAGATTCACCCATGTTTCAGGTTATCTGTTGTATCAAAGACGGCCATTGTTTGTTGTGTCAAAAACTGTCATTGTTCTGGTGAGCATAGCCATTGTCTTTGTGTTGAGTGCTGTTATTGTTGTCATGAGCACTGTTATTGTCTGCCGTGTGGCCTGTTGTTGAGAGCTGTCACTGTCTGTTGTGTCAAGTGCTATCATGTCACTTGTGTCCAGTGCAGTCTTTATCTGTTGTGTCAAACACTGTCATGGTTTGTTGTGTTGTGCACTGTCATTGTCTGTTGTTTTAAGCACTGTCTTTATGTGTTGGTCAAATGCTATTGTTGTTTGTTATGTTGAGCACCGTAATTGTTTGTTGTGCCCAGCACTGTCATTCCTGTTGAACTATATAATTATCTGTTGTTTTGACCAGTCTTTATTTGTTGTGTCAAGCACTGTCATTGTGTGTTGCATCGAGCACTCATTGTCTGTCTAACACTGCCATGGTCTATTGTGTCAAACACTGTCATTACCTATTGTACCATGCATTGTCATTGTCAGCTGTTTCAAATGCTATCATTGTCTGTTGCACCTTATCATTGTCATTTGTCTATTGAGTTCAGCACAGTTAGCGTCTATTGTTTTAAGCACTGTCATTGTTGTGTCGAGTGCCATCATTGTCTGTTGTGTTGAGCAGTGTTATTGCCTGTCAGTTAAATTATGTAGTTGTCTACTGTTTTGAGCACTGTCTTTATCTGTTGTGTCAAACACTGTCATTGTTTTTTTTCAATCACTGTTGTTGTTATGTCAAAAATATGTCATGTCATGGTCTGTTATGTCACACGTTGTCATTGTCTGTTGTGCTAATCACTGTCATGGCCTATTGTGTTGAGCACTGTCTTTAGCTTTTGTGTCAGTCACGGTCATTGTCTGCAGTGTTAAGCACTCGTTATTGCCTGTTGTTTTGAGTACAGTCAGTGTCTATTGTGCTGAGGGCTGTAATTGTCTGTTGTGTTGAGCACTATTCATTGTGTTTTCTCTAGGCCACTATCTGAGGAATGTGAAGGAGTAATTCCTCCAGCACCCAACATCCAGGCACCTCGTCTTCCTCCACCATTCTTATCCCACGATCAGTCTGATATGCATTCTTATGGCAGTAAGTAAAGTCTGTCAGAATGATGGCTTGCACACAAATAATGTAATTGTAACTGCTTATGACTTTGCGCTTGGTCCAAGGTGATGCCTCCAGCAGTTGCAGAATGATGGTATGAATGCACACATAGCACAGAGCCTCACCAATTCACTCCCTGCCAATGCACACCAACGTGCAGTGATTCATATTGGGAAGTACAGGTATTTTGAAGGCTTGTATACCTAGAGGAGTTTACAGACAAGGGGAGGATCAAGCAATGGAGCAATTTGAAAGCAAGGAAGAGAATTTTAAATTTAGGCATTGGTTAGTGAGGAGCCAATGTAGATCAATGAGCAGTGGGATCCAAGGGGAACAGAACTTGGTGCAAATTAGCATACAGGAAGCAGAATGTAGCATTGCCACAGGTTTATGTAGGTGTTAAGATGGGAAAGAATTGGAATATTGCCATGATTGAAGGTAATAAGACACGTTGGGTTTCAGTGGGAAATGAGATGAGGCAGAGCTAAAGTCAGATGATATTATGCAGATGGATAGTCAGCAATCTCAGCGATGGGTCAAATAGCCAGCTCGTTTCAAGTACAACACTGAGGGGTGAATGGTCTGGCTCTCCTCCAAGCATTCATCAGAGATGAAGCTGATGATCAGGGAACAGAGATTGTGAGGGAAACAAAAGACAATGGTTTTATTCTTCCCAGTATTTATTTGAGGGTAATTTCCAATGATCTGGTGTTAGATGCCTTACAAGCACAGTGAAATCAGAGTCAGTGGTTATGTCAAGGGAGGTAGTGATGAGGTGGAGCTGAGCCCTTTCAGTATCCATATGGAATATGATGTAGTTTTTGTACAAAATCACTTCCAGATTTTAAGCAGTGTTGAGTGTGTAACCAGTAACCTGTGAGAGGAGAAATGAAACTGGACGAGTCTGCTGGTTTTTGCTGAGGCTTCTGGCTTCTATCTCTGAGGCACCAAAATTACGGAATAGCCTGAAAAGCTGGTTGAACCATATGATCATTGACAAATTCCCTTGATGGTCTAGTGTATGAGCACTGTGACCTATTGAACAGCTGATAAAGGCTCATCACAGATCTTATTTGTCACCACACCATCTCCCAGAGTCTCTCCTGCCTGCTGTCTGCAGATTTGCCTTTTCAATGTGTTATTGCGAGGATTCAAGATGTGCCATGAGTTAACATTGGGAAAGAATTCTCAAAATTTATGTACCGCTCCCAGTTGCGTTTTCCAGTAATTCTATCTGTTTCTATCTGTTCATTTCCTTCAATTCTGCCATGCGTATTTTGTGAGGATAAGACTTTAAATCAAACCTTTTAAATTCTGAACATTGAGTTGTATTCCTTGTCCTTACCAGCCCAGCGTCTATAACTAGCTCTTGGGAGGAGACACTGGGCGAAGGTGAGGAAGGGCTGAGCCAATTAGGATGGAATCACATGACTCAGGGCAGTGTCGGCTGCGTAACTGAATAGTTGCTCTGCAGCTTACCCTTTTGTTCAGAGAACGAGGATTTGTTAACAGTGATAGTAGGAACTGCAGATGCTGGAGAATCTGAGATAACAAGGTGTAGAGCTGGATGAACACAGCAGGCCAAGCAGCATCAGAGGAGCAGGACGGCTGACGTTTT